GAAGCAGAGGAATTGTCCGACAACCACAACTGCAAGGTGGAAATTTTCGTGACCCCAAAGAAAATAGACAAAAATTCGGAAATGTATGCTTGTGGCTCCCCCTCAACGGAGTCCGTCGTGGAGGAGTCGGAGGCGAACGCGAAGGCAGAGAGAAGGAAAAGGAAGAAGCTTAGGGCCACATTCGGTGCCACTCCTGTTCGTGGTTGTAAACTTGGCGGAGAAGATGCCAATGTTAAGCATGAGGGGAAATAAAATTTGGTGTAATTTGATGCATGAATTGGTCGTCATGCCCTTAATTACCAACAATAAAAATTCGGTAATACTATGGTGACTACAGTTTTACAACAATAGTTGTTGGGAAATGCTACGGTGTCCACCCGCCATTTGGGGACACCGTAATTTTTAGCGTAACCGACCATTACAAGCATAACCAGGACCAGTGATATGTATGACCACGGCCTTACAAAGGCATAATTCCCAAAATCCCCGGAAATTAACACCAAAAATTACGGTGTCCTCAAATGGCGGGTGGACACCGTAGCTTCATCAGATGTTTGATTCTATCATAGAACTAGCTCTCTTCACAACCCCAATATGAAAATGAAACCAAGGAGGGAAAAAACTTCAATACACCCAGTATAACTAATTTTGTCACGCCTCTCAATGGTAATTGGTAAGGTTACGCCATCTCAAATGGTTAAGGTTATGCCTCTCAATGGTTTGATTATGCCTACGGTATGCACATAGTTGCGCCTCTCAATATATAGTTTTGGTTATGCCTATATGTTATGCTCTATTTGTAAATTTTCATACTTATGTTATGCCTCCCAATGATTTGGTTACGCCTCTCAATGGTTTAATTATACGGGTGCATACTATACACGGGTGTGTATAGGCTATAGTAGACGTTCTCGCCAAGGAGATATTACAATACTTAAGGAGATAGAGCAAAATAATGGAATCAAAACACCAAGGAGAATTCCAAAACCACAAACCTTTGCACACAAAAAAAAAAAACAACAACAACAACAACACGCTCGCATAAGGTGTGTGGGCTCCACCACACACCGGTGGGGTAGTGTGTGAAGCCTACACACTTTTGTGAGTGTTTTTTCATTTATTTGTGCAAAAGTGTGAAGGGACAACAAATGGTTAGAGCATTTCAAGTCCTTTTTCAAATCTACGGCATATTATGTTTTACTCAATTTTTGGCTCAAACTTTTAAAGGCTGTTTTTTTTTTCTCTCTCTCAAATTTAGAACTACGTGCCTCTTTAAACAAAGTTTTGAACTACGCCATTAAGGAAGCTTTATTTTAACTCCGAATGGGAAGGATAGGATTATCAATACCTATTACCCATGGTATTGCTAAGAGCATCTCCAGCCGTCACTCATATTTTTCCTTAAATTTGAGTTAAATTTTGGGTAAAAACCCATTTTGAGTAGACACATCTCCAACCATCAAACACAAATTTTACCTAAATATATATACATTTTATTCTTAATGGCATAATGGTAAATAAGATAAAACAATCAAATCCAAAATGAATAGACCTGGTACTCTTCTCACTCCATCTCCGTCTTTCTCTCCCCTAGAATCATACACAAATTTTTTGTCACACAAAAACTAGAACCGGACACAACCACAAAAGACAACTCTGAAACTCGTTCATCATCATTGGAGAAGGCCAGAAGAGAACGACAACTCTGAGGGACTCAGGTTGGCTTAGAAGTCACAACGCCACTGTCACTTTCTACATCGCCTCTCAGATTGCCGGCCCTCGGCTTGCCGCCACTGCTGACGAGGTTCTGTCTCTCCCTCTTCCCCCTCTCTCTAACTAGCCGTTGGAGAAATGGGTCAAGGCAAAAGTTGTCCCAAATTTGGGCAAAGAAATGGGTAAAACCCAAAATGAGGAAGGGTTTGGGTCAAAGATTGGAGAGAAATGGTTGTAATTTTTGCCCCATTTTTAAATTTAAGTCTTAAAATAGGTCAAGACTAGAGATGCTCTATTACCCTCATTTTGAGGGATTAATCGTCCAATGGGACTACCAATTCAACCATGGTTTACCAAACTAAACAAAAGAGTAAGGGGGCCCGCCGCCTTATTAGTCCAATCCCATGGTTGGAGGGAGTTATCAGACATAAGGATTTGTAATCGGAGTATATATGCTCAAGAGAAGCTTCTTTTAATGCTTTAAAAGAAGCACAATGATGTAGCACTACGAGAACCTTTTCTATATATCAGGGACACCAAGGGTGGTGGTATTCGCTCCGGTTTGTTTTTAATTTTTCAGCCATTTTCCGATCACACTTGAATGATCGGCTTCGTTCATTTTGTAGAGTTCAACGAAAACTTAATCATCCAAAAAATTGTATTCATCGGACTTTATTAGATACATGACCGGCACACGTGAAAATTGCAAAAATAACAAAACTGGGTTGCGATTCAGTGTGATTTTTTTATCCAGTTTTGGTTTTCTTCAATTTTCACATGTGCCGATTATGTATCTACAAAAATCCGATGAACACGATTTTTGGTATGGTTAAGGTTCTCGCCGAACTCTATAAAATGAACAGAGCCAATCATCCAAGTGTGATCAGAAAATGACCGAAAAATTAGAAATAGACCGGAAGGGATACCAATGGCCTTGGTATTCCCGGTATAAAAAAAGTTTCTCAGCACTCTGATTGCCTTGAGGAAGGCTCCTATTATTCCGGTATGAATCTTGAGTGGGTAACCCTGAATTAAGTTGCAACAAACACAAGTCTACGTACTATTCATTCATGGGCATGTTAAGAAGAATTTTCAAGAATTGAAAAGTTCAGAAAACATTTTTAAGAAGGGAGCTTAATCATTTTGAGCATAATATCGTTCGGCCTCCAGAATTCGAACAATTGGAAAGAGTATTTCCGGTCTATGTCAATGGTTGATTAAGACTAAAAAATCAGCAACCTAATTACTTTTCTACAGAATGGTGGTACTTGTACTTACTCTTCTTAGGATGCGGTTTATTGCCCTCAAGACTCAAGAGTAGCCTTCGTTGAGATGCAATTATGCAAAACAAAATGCTCAAAACCAAAATAGAAACAGTACGGGAATGCAATATTCCCAATATATATCAACTTTCATTGGTTTGAGACGACACTAGAGATAGGAGTAGTACTATTTTTCGGGTCGGGCAATTTACCTCTAGGTCCAGAAAATAGAAAGTAATTCCCACCAAGTTTCCTCTAATTAACGAAACACTAAAACCCTATGAAAGTGCCTAAAACCCCCAATACTGAAAGTGCTTAACTCTTAGGGCACCCTATGAAAGTGCCTAAACCTCAGGGTACCCTATAAAAGTGCCTAAAACTCTAGGGTACCCAATAAAAGTGCCTAAATCGCTAAAACCCTATAATAGGAAAGTGCACCCTAAAACTCCTATGAAAGTGCCTAAACCTAAACCCTATGGCTCTATGAAATCACCTAAACCTAAACTCTAGGGTACCTTAAACCCTAGGGTATCCTAAAATCTAAAATATTAAGGTACCCTAAAACTCTAGGGTACCCTAAAATCCTAAAATCCTAGGGTACCCTAAGATTTTAGGGTACCCATTAGGGTACCATAAAACCCTAGCATACCCTAAAACCCTAGGGTGACATTTCTATTAATGGTAAATGTATTTTTGTAAAAGTAGACTTAGTGGTAATTAAGTATTTCATCTCTCCTTAATGGGAATTAAGTGTCACTTTTCTATACTTAGAGGTAATTTTCTCCCACAGGAACGTAATTCCTATTCGAACTTAAATTGGCATATTTAAATTATTCAGATTCGGTATTAGAGAGCACTGGGGCAGATTTAAGTGTTCAACATATTCCTTAGCGTCGAGGGATCAGAAAGGCGAATACTTTGACTCAAGGCCGGCTTAGAGGATAGCGAGAGAAGCATGCGTTTCGGGCCCAAAAAAAGGCTAAAAATGAGGGCTTAAAAAATTCTAGAATCCCTATAGATATATGGGCCCCCCCAAAAAAAATGCTCTAAGTCCCCTTTACACAAAATAGGCCCAATTGATTTAGGAGCCACAAAATAGGCCAAACGGTGGAATACACTGATTATCAACTCCCATAGGCCATAACCCCTTAGGGTACGTTTGGTTCGATTGAATGGAATAGACAATGGAATGGAATTGAAAATGCATGGAATGAAATTGAGAAGATTAATTTTCAAATGATGGATTTTGAGATATAGTAATGGTTGCATCTATTTGGGCTATATGCTTATATTTTGTAATATTTTTTTTATGAAACTCTTTGTACAATAACTTGTGTATGAAAAATATAGGAAGGCTTCATTTTAGAGATTCGTTTCCGGCCTCTAAAACTTATGAGCCGGCCCTACATTGATTGAGTTGTGGTGGACGGCGTCGACTCTAGGACGCTAGAGATGAGGAGATAGATGAAGACGCCGAGAGAGAGAGAGAGAGAGAGAGAGAGGGGTCTTTTTTTATAATTAAAGTTTTTTTCCGAGTGATTTCATAACAAATCAGTTCAATTGGATAGGTATAAGTGTTTAATTCAATATTTTAATTTTCCATTAAGATCTGTGGATCCCACCAAAGAATGAAACCTGGCGGTTGCTCGCTCTAGAGGTCAGCTTTTTCCTCTGGTGGTACACTTGATTTGATTTGATTCTGTTGTATGAAATACAATTAAGCGGAAATCAATTTTAATACAATAAAAAATTCAAAAATCCACATAAAAAAAAGGTGGATAGAAAAACTTATTAGATACCATTGACTCTGGTATCTAATCGTGCAGCTCGGTTTAATAGTTAGAACTCGGATCAGATCTAGAATTGGGTCTCCTGAAAAGGGTTCCAGAGATGATGGTGGCGGGGTCCGCGATCCTGCAGCGACCTCTGCACTACACCCCACAGAAGGCGATCAAAGGGCAAGCGATGGCAAATCTACTAGTGAAAAATCCGGTGCTGGATAGTGAGGAAGTGTCAAGCGAAATGGCCTACTTAATTCAGTGGTTAGAGTATTGCTTTCATTCAGCGAGAGTAATTGGTTCAAATCCAATAGTGGAGTATCACAGGGGGGATGTCACAAATTCGGGGATTTGGAATTACGAAGGTGTGGCCGGGGCACAAATTTGTCTTTTCTGGCTTGTGCTTCTTGGCAACTATCTGGCCGATCTTCCTTTCTTTTCTGCCGGGTTAAGCGCCACTCTCTTTCTGAGTTATTCTAGCTTCTGGTTTTTTGATGTGGCCCCATTTTCGCCTTACCAACCCCAGGAGGTTCTCGTGTGCTTATATACCACAATATATTTTCCAAACCTGACTCTTACTATATTGATACTGACTCCGTAATTCAGGATGCTATAATGCACACACAAATAATATGAAATGCAGGACGTAACCCAGCGCCATAAAGGACGATGGGCAAGCAAAGCATCCTACTCTTTAATGATTTTGACCCAATTTTGATTTTATCATTATCGTTCAGAAAAGACAAAAAAAAAAATTAGCATAGCAAAGATTCTCTAGAATTTCTCTTAGATTCGAACCCATAGCTAATGATAGAATTGGGATTCTCAAGTCTAGTAGCTATGAGTCTATGGACAAGAGGGATCTTCCCATTGGTGGAGGGTTCCAAACCTTGCCTAATCGTTAGTTGAGGACGACCTTTGTAGGACTCAAATTTAAATAAAAAATTAGAAGATTGGATCAACGACATAATTTGATTTTTTGCAGGACCATTCAGAAAAATATTTTAAATTTAATGAATGAATTGAATGATTTGCATGAGATCCCAAAATAAGCCCCTCAAAGCAGTCTATGCACACAATCTACGTAGCCGTAGGTAGTGAGGTTGTAAGGGCTAGATGTGGGCATGTGACCCAATTTTACGTCACAAACTCATAGAACCGTTTAGCCACTTGCGGCCAACGAAAATATGGCAACAAAATGAGTCGAAGAAGCAATCAACTCTGCTGGATGAAAGTCAGTGTAATTACCAAAGGAATTAACCCCAAAACTAGAAAAATGCATTTAGCAGCAGCATTCCCTGGAGAGAGGAGCATTTTTTGTACTCCTTCAACAGAGTATCGACAAAGCGTATTGGATACTATAAAAATGCGACATGAAAAATCTGCGCATATCAGGAGCTTTAAACTGGGAAAAAAAAAGCGACTAATTCAAGCCACAGGCCTATTACTACGCAAAACCAGAACATAATTTGAGCAGGAATAAACATATAAAACTAAAAACCAATTTTGTATTATACCGGAAACTAACCAATTAAGACCATCTGTTTCCAAAAAGCTGACAACAGGAAGCAACAAAATATTTTTGGAAATGTGTTGAAGAAAAGCAGAAATCCCAGAAGTGAAATCAATCAGGGGTCTCAAACCATATTCAACAGGAAAAACAAGTGTGGCTCTAAATGCTTCTTCAATGGATGTTCCCAGCAAGTCGCAGTACACAGAGAACTGACCTTCCGTTGAAGCTCAAATTGCAGGGGAGTGCGATTCAATCATTCAAAAACCCTTTGGAAGGCACGTCCGGGGCTAAAACAAAACAAGAAGGATTTTACTATGGTCAGTGCTGTGAGAATTGAGAGAGAGAGAGGTATAAGAAAAAGTGTTAAACCAAGTCGTGGCAGAACAGATTAAATTAGTGGTAGTACCCCAAGTACTTTGCTTTACTTTTTCAGGGAGAGCCACTGAGAATTATTTCTTCAAGCAGGCAAAAACTTGGATCCTTTCTTTTCCATGGACTTGGTACGCAACCTCTCCATGAACTGAGTATTGGCTCTGAGTCTCCCCTTGGCATAACGAGTTAGAACCTCCTCTACAAGCTTATCAGCTTTTCCGGCTTCCTCAATGAGTGTAAATAGAGTCCTAAGACAATCCTTTCTGTTCTCCTCCCGATGTTCAAACCTGACAACAAGACCAATAGGAACAATTAAATCAAAATTTTGCAAAGAAATCTATTTCACCTACTTCATAGGTTTGATGGTAAGACCAATGTTCCTCTCCACTGACAAGCAGGATAATATATTTATTAGAAGTGCATCCATGGAGCTCAAATTCAAGGGTTTGCTATGAGCCAAAATGCAAGTCTTTAACAAATGTTTTATGCCTACCAGTTCCTGTCGTGAAAATTCTAACAAGTGAATCGATGTGTATTGGGCTTTACCTCTCACTGGTGATTGTTAGCTCATCTTTCCCCGGATGGTAGCGCTTTCCAACGAGTTCCCGCAGACGACGAAATTGATGCTTTGAGAGCCCAAGCTCTTTGACAGTAACAGCCATCTTCACTTTTCTGTTTTTGGGGTGCCATGCATCACCACCGGGAGCCAAGACAACACGGGTCTGCCACCTGAGAACTGGCCCCTCACCTGGTGGGTCATCTATATTCTTTTTCTCGTCCGGCACAGAGGTATCATTACACTGTGGAGGTCCCTCTGCCTCCATCATCTTACCACATTCCAAAACCATCTCATCTTCAAATTCTTTGAAAAGCTCATAACCTTTTTCAACTTCAATCTCCCCCCTTTCAACCATGTCACCTATCTCATTAAATTTCTTCTCCACTTTCTGCTTTATCTCATCTGAGAAAATTGCACCAGGGGAAAATTTAACACTTCCCTCATAGAAATAGAATGAATAGCACAATGCTAATATTTCATCGCTACAAAAAAATACTCTTTTTTATTATCAAAGGAATCGAATCAAACATACTCCAGACAACTTGTATGGGAAAGAAAAATGTTTGACGACTCCAACGTACGAGCTCCTAGCGATAGAATATATAAACCCAGATAACTATCGGAAACCAAATCGAGGGGACAAAATGACTGCAAAAAACTAAGTTAATGCAGATAATAACATCCTCCATATGTAGAAAGGGCCATTCTTCCAATAAATTGGAAGTTTCTTCAAACAAAACAGTTCTTCCTAATCATATAATTATTATCTGGCTAGCCCCTAAATAATGCAACAGTAGGAGATGGACCCTTCTACAACTTTTACCTTCTTTGGTTTTCAGCGAATGGAGAGTTAGTTAAGGAAAAAATGAAAAGGTGAAGATGGAATCATCGCGAGATGTTAGATCCTTCAAAATCCTACTTTGTTTTCCTTAACCCAAACCCTTGATCCAAATGCAGCGTGAGTGGAGAAATCCAAAAAGAGAAACATTCATGAAGAAAAGTCATCATGTTCTACTTGAGAAGAGTTGCATATAGGGTCAAAAGTTCTAAAAAATGGTAAACGGTCACCAGATTGCAATTGTCCATCGGAATCCACAAAGACTAGGAAAATGAGGCACACCATCCTAGAAACTCAAATGAAGGGTTCCATTAAAAGAAGCCAAGAACAACAAATTGGTTGATAGAACCAAGATATCCATGTAGTAACAAACTACTTGGAAGAAAAGCAGAAGATACAAAGACTCCACCAATATCACGAGCCTATAAGGATATACCTGGAAGGAGCTTATCCCAGCTAAGCATGTCCTCTAGAATTGCCTCACATTTCCTGGTGTCCTTAAGAAATCCATGATTCATTGCCTCATTAATCATATCTCCCCACTTCTTGTTGTCCATGTAGAAGAATTCATCTTTAACCATCCTCTTCTTCACAATATCCGTTGCATTATACAAATCATCAATATCTTCATCAGTCTCGTACAACTCCTCAAAATCAGATTCAAACTCATCGTCTTCAACACCGTCCACCGGCTTGCTACTAAGTTCTTCTATCAGCTCATCATCGGTTTCCTCGTGCTTTCCTGCTAACTTTCGTTGGATTATTGCTTCAATAATGGATGGGAGTGCCTCTTCATCACCTTCTTTAAAGTACTTTTCAATACGTATTTTCAGCTCTGCAACAAAAAAGAATAAAAAGCGCAGATAAGCAAGACCGAAAAAATAATCAGATCTCAAGAAGTTAAGGGAAAAACTCAGATACATTTGCACAGTATGAATAATTTTGATAACCAAAGATCCATAAACAGAAGATGTACCCAGTACTATTAAATTGCAAAACAGGTAGGACAGAGCTCAACTCATAGATAATGTATGTATACGCATGTATACCAATATAAGAAACGAAATGCCATGTCTTCCATGTCTGATGGTCAAAACCAAAATGCCATGTGTGGTAGACCAGATTAGGCATTTGTATTTCCAATTTCGAGGGAGGCCATTTCGGTTTTCAAACACAACTTCTGGTGAAGATATTACATAATTGTAGGATACCCAGTACACCAAAAAAAAAAAAAAAAAGGTGACAGAAACCAACAATCACTCAAAAAATATAGCAAGCCGTTAGAGAAGTACAGACACTATGAGTAGATGAATCAACTAAGAATCATGTGCCACTTGGGTGCATTACAGATAGTTAATGCATATGTATGCACAAGTCCTTAGATTTTTGACCATTTGGAGTTAGTTAATCTAGTTTTTTAACATCATGGAAAAGCCAATAGTCCAGACCAACAAGTTTAAACACAAAAACAAAAACAAGAAAGAAAAAACTTATTTTCCAAACAAATTCACAGGAAGCAAAAGAACAGCACCTTTGTTGCTGACGTCTTGAACATCCACAGAGACATCCCTCTTTTTCTGGGTTTGGGGCTGCAAGCTAGTTTCTTCTGGAAGGGGGACAGGGTTAGAACTAGGGTTTCCATGGGACGAATCGCTTTCGGATGAGAAAAGCCTCCTCAAGTTGGAAGAAGAAGAAATCACGCCAGAAAGAGAAGAAATGTGATAAGGGTTGCTGCTATTGGGATTTGGATTGGCGACCAGAAGATGAGAAGGAAGATTGCGAGCGTTGTAGAGCCACACTCTGCCGAGTTGAAAAGCTCCTCGCCTCATGGATTACTACCAGGGTTTTTAGCTTTTGCACTGTTCTTTATTCTCTCTGCAAGTCCCCAAGAAAAGCAGGACAGGGTTATTCAAGGAGAGAAATAACAACTAAAGCGAAAGTTCCATTGTTAGCAACTTCAAATGATATTGCAAATATGGTGTCAAACCCAATTCATTTTTTCGTTTCTGCATCGAGGCGGAAGTTCCATTGTTAGCAAC